TCTCATATTTCTTCTCTTGATTTGCCCACTTAGTTTACATCTCTACATGCATTCAGCTGGTGCAAGACAAAAGTAGCGTTCTGTAAGCTGGAGAACAAGACTTTCCATTACTAACCATCCACCACGGTACTGAGTGTTTTACAAAAAAAAATCCTCACTTATTCGAGAAAAGTGTCAACTCACCTTCCGGTGAAGGAAAACTTCCAGAACTGAAGAGTGACGTGCGATTCACATGTCCCGTTATAACTGTATGATTTTCGAGCTGTTCAAGCTGTGCTGGGCTAAGACAGCGTAATGTTTTGGTCTTTTCTCGACTTCTAACTGACGTGCCTTCCTGTAAATATTTCAGAAGCTGTCTTCGCTGTTTAAAAAACGCACAAAAGGTGACAACCCGTTTGAAAAAACTGGATCACAAACATTTTCTGGACGCTCTTCGGAAAAACCTGTTCTTTAAAAGCTCCTTTTTCCAAGACTCCTATCCAGAGCAATAAAACATTTTCAAATTGAAATCTGATCAGCAGGGCTGATAATTAATTCTGAAAAAACCGCTGTCATATGATGCCGCGCAACATGCGACAAACTTATTCTTCCAAAAGCCATGCATGATCCTGGATACAATGGGCGGCAGCTTCGGAAAAAAGATGAGGACTTTGCTGATTACCCGCCATGTCCTCCCAATTGTTCCTCCACGATAAACAGAAGCTATTAATCGAAACTCTTCCACAAAGGTATTCAGGATGTTACTAAACAGCTGACACAGTGTGAGCCAAAAATCGACTGATAACAGCTAACTTGGTAGCGCAAAATGTGCTCGTTTGTGGATTTCGGTAAAAACTGTGAAAATCATTTCTTGTTCCGATGAAATTTACCGGATTTCTTGTTCCGATAAATTTTAGTAGCTTTGACAGCCTTCACTCGGCACCTCTTTTCTTTTTTAGTATCACAAACGTGCACAATCCGCTTCCATCCCACGATACCTACTTCTGTCTACAGTTCCTGCCTCCAGTTCAGGTCTCAGCTTCTTCCCAATTAATATCCCTGTCCCATCCCCCTTGTTAGTTTTCCCTGCGGTCTAAACTAACACTTCCGGCCCTTGCCTTCCTCTCCACACTTTTGCCCTTATCCAGCCAATCAATGAAGCACATAAGAGTCATCTTAACTTCCCTTCATTATGCTTATAGTGCAACCAGCATAAATTTTTACTTTCTTGCCTGTCTGATTACTGAGAGGGAAGGATGACAAAAGTGTTGCAATTTGAACGTTTGAGGCTTTCGCACACGGGGCACGCAAGTAAGCGGAAGCTCTTTTTGTGTTACAGGTTCGCATGCGAACAACAAACATCCTTCAAAATTGTGGCTTCCTGCTCAATCTGGTTGTAGAGTTAAATAGGTGCTAAGTTTGAATTTTTTTTCTTTGCGCAAACTGAAATTTTGTTTGGATATAGCGCGGGACTTAAGAATGTCTCAGAGCCGGGTTTAAAAATTTAGTCGCGCGTGTACACTGAATATCTTCTTAGCTTGTCCAGTTCTCGAAGTTATAAATAGTTTTTATGTGCTTTGCGCGTGACAGAGACGTAATCCAAAATTCAGTTCAGGTAGACAAGTCCGCATATAGACGATAAATATTTTATAAAAATTGGAGCTGCCTTTCCCAGCCAGATACCAAGTTAGCGTATCCTGCGCGTGACGTAAGTACAATTGATAGAAGTGTCCAAAATTTTTAGGTTACGAGCAGAGAGAGAACATTTATACAAAAGTTTCAGATTCCTGTGCTGACCGGTCCACGAAATCTTCTCCCAGTAAAAACTTTTGCAGTTTTCTTTTCAGGCATCCGTGATTAGATATAGGCGTAAATGAATGCTGTTTTCAGGTTTTAAGGATCGCGTGTGAAATGTGCTCGTTTTTCAGCTCCCTAGCTTCTCGGATTGTGGAGTTGAAACTGGGTGGTAAAGTTCAGAAACACAACTG